TGATTATTATTATTATTATTAATATTATTATTATTATTATTATTATTATTACACGATAATACGCTCTATATAGACACGCGTTTATTTTCGCCTCTCCTTCGTTCTTTCTCTTGCCTCTGTGTTGTACTTTCTTCAAGGCGATACCGAGTCGCGTTTCCGTTCGACTAACGTTGTTGCGTACGTCCGTTCTCACGTCTGAGAGGGATATAAAAAGGAACACGTGTAAAAAAAACAAAGGTTACACCACAATCCAGTATCTTATCACGTCAATGGAGATAGTTTTCATTGACACTATCGGTCTCGTTTTTGTCTATCCGCGCTGTTTTCACCGTTACGTTGCAGTTACACTTTTACGTTGTTATTTCACGATTTTCGAGAGAGAAAGATAGAGAGAGAGAGAGAGAGAGAGAGAGATAAAAGGGAAGCAGTTTTTCGGGCGTTGATTCTATTCTGTCGTTATTTTTTGTACATAGTTTATATTACGTGATCGTGAACAGGAGGAAACTAGAAATGGAAGAAAATAATTGCAATCGTGCGAGCGTTGCTTTCTCAACGAGATACGAACAGAGAATATTATTATTATTATTATTATACGAACGCATATATATATAAATATATATGTACCATTGTAAAATATGTCTCACGCGGATGATTAATGGCCGTGGCTGCTGCGACTTCGAGCTCGAGATAAACATAGGAGAAACATTCCATCGACTGTGGGAGGACGATAAAGGGGAAGAAAAAAGGGTTGACGAACGGCTCTCCGACTGTTTCTGGAAGAACCGAGCCCTAATTATGCACGGATACGTCGTACTTCCTTTTTCCTTTTCCATTTCGCGGCCGATCGTGCTTTCTGTTCGATTAGATCGTTTTTTGTTTTTTTTTTCGTTCCTTCGGCCGAAAGGAAGATAGTATACCTGGTTCGAAGCGTGTTAAGTCGACGATCGCTCCGTGGAGATATTTCTCCGACGAGAAGCGAATTTTCCTGTTTACTGTCTTAAGCGATACAGTCACGCAGACACTCGAAGTGAGATATTCGAACGCTGGTCGAGAAAAGCCTTGGGAAATCTTGTAGAAGTTGGAAGGTTCCGGAGATCTGATTTTGTTGATTTTGAGGAGATACTTAAGAGATTTGAACGATTTTAGGTATGAAAAATCGGAAGATTTTTGGTATACTTTGGAAGGTTTGAGAAACTGGTTTATGAGTGTTTTAAGACTACAGTGAAATGTGGAAACGTCGATTATCGACCCGGTGCCTTCGGAGTTTCTTTCATGGTTTAATGAAAATTACCTTAATTCGAGTTCGATGCGTTTAGGTTTATTTGACGAGTGTGATTTGTTAGTGTAGGACAACGGGTTGAATGTGGAGAATTAAAAAGTCGGTACTTTGAAGAATATTTATATTTGGAAAAATTCAATCGATATACTTGTCACTTGAAATATTTAAGTTTTAATTATACGAGGGACAAAGGTAACGATAAGAAAGTACTTAAAAAATTACAAAATACAGGATACTGCGTTTGGTTTTACATTTGATGAAAAGGTTCAAGGTAGTATTAGAGGACATTTCGTTAGTTTATTTTTTCCATTTGCTGCAATAGAATCTCCACTGTGAAAACTAGTAGAGAAGTATTTTCTGAGACAAAGATGTTTCAAGTAACGAAATTTTTTAAGTTAATTATTAGGCTGACTTGCCTTAACTTGCGTTTACCTGTGCGTCTAAGTATTAACATTTCTCTCTGTATTTTGTACTTCATCGATTCACTTCTGCCTCATTCACCATTAACAGTGTATCAATTTAAAACCACACAATCTACTTCCTTGTGGACAAACAATTTCTCAGATAATTTACAGTTAACTTCTACAAATAAGAATATTATATTTTTCATTTACATCAACATCTTCATTGAAATTTCCATGAAACGACGATTTTACGTTAGGACAATTATTATCAACACTGCCTATTACTCAAGGTTATAATTCAAAGCGATGAAACTTTCATTAGTAAACGAAACCTTCCAAGCTTCTTCGAATTTTCTTCGAGCTCGATTTTCCAGCACTCGAACGAATTCTCACACGTTCGAAATGACCCGAAGCGTTATTAGAGACAAAAACATCGAACGTCTCTGCGAACGATGCCGCTGCTTAGTTTAATCGAGCAAGTATCGGTGAATCAGTATAGTGCAATAGTTCTCTACACACATGCTACTCTTCTTCTCTGTCTCTGTCTCTGTCTGTCTGTCCTTCTCTGCGAGCATTAAGCAAACTCGCTGTGCAGCATTGTCGAACGCCTCTTTTCATTCGAACGTCTCTTCTCTTCGCGAAATGTAACAATCGCTGAGATCGTCGTCCTAGTAGCACACTTGTTCCGTGTGTATACGGAACCGTGTCGATTCTATATCGCAGTGTGGTGTCATTCAGTCAGTCGCGCGACCTCCAAATCGAATTTAGATGAAGAAAATGAACGCTCGATGTGGATTCATCTTATTTAACGATAATACGAATTACGGTTTACGTTGAAATTTAGAAAAAAGTGGAAGCCGAATTGTATTGTGGTCATTTTGGAACGTGCAGTATTTTTTATCTGAAATTTTTTTTACTGAAGCTTGTTCGCTGATTTGGAGTTTGAATTTTGGACCACTGAAGCGATTTTTAGTCGAACTAAATGAAAGCTGATTCAGACCGGAGACATAAATTATGTGCATCATCTGATCGTTAATCTATAATCTGAAAACATGGATTAATATATGTTAAAATTAGTCCAAAATTAATCTTCCATTGAAATATGAGTATAGAAACAAAAATTTTTAATTGCAATCGAATCTCTGTTAAACTGAAAATCGCAACTTCTTCGAATCAAAATAAATACACTTTTCAATCTAACGAAAAATTGATCAGAAAATATATTATTATTAATTTCGTTTTTTTGTTCAATTTAATTAGACGAAAATTCGTAGAAAATTCGACGAAAATTCGATTCGAACCGTTCCGCGGCTGACTTAACCCTTTCGAGTTCCACTGGACGATGATCACAGAAAGGGAAATTGAAATGGGCGTGAAACGTAACAGACCGAATCGTTCCCGCGGAGAAAAGAGCCATCGGCTCGACGATACGCGCAAACGACAGATCGAAAGGAAAAAGGAAAAACGAAGAAGGTGGCGGAGAAACTTCGAAGGAAAAAATACACGTTTACGTTTCCATTTTTTTCTTCTTTTTCTTTTCTTACGCATACACATACATGTTCTCTATATAATACGTATATTTCCGTTTGTTCGAGATAATCTTGTTTGCCTAGACGGGGTGCAGTTCTAACACCGTTTCAATATACACAATTTGCCATGCCTGACAAAAATCACGTTTCTAACAGAAGAGTCATTCGATAGCTAATCGACGCTGGTCCGTTAAAAGTCTCAATTACAATAAACTCTGCCCGCTTTGAAGTGAAAATCAGGGACTAAGACCGGTCACTTTCTTCACTTTCGTACATTCGCAGCTTCTGAAACACAATTCTACTGCCACAGATTTCTCGTCTAACTCTGAATTTTCCATGT